CTTTAGGCTTCGTCATCTGAATAGGGTAGAAGGGATTCAGGTGGAGAGGGTTATCAGAGCTAGTTACCTTGACCGCCATGGTCACTTCCTTGGTAAGAATTCGCAGACCTCTATCATGATTAACTTTGAGACTTTGATGGACCTCGCACCAAAACTATGATTGGAACTGTGGCTAATTCGATCTTCTTGGTAAGAGAGAGTCGTCTCCATCGGGTGCGGCAAGGGATGAGGGCCAGGGACTGGGGTAATCTTGGGCTGCGGAGGATGAAGGACTCAATCTCTCATCAGGTCAATGCCCCGAGCTCTCTTGTGGGCTCCAGAGACACGACCAAAGTGACGGAGCTGGTTCAGGATGGTACTCTTGGGAAATGTCTACGAATACCAAAGCAGGAGGTGCTTGTTCAGAGAAGGAGGAGCAGGCTGGAGAAGGGTTGACTCATGAGCAGGCTTGAGTTGAGGGAGAGGAGACGTCTCTGCCGGTGACTCACATGCACCCCTTGAAGAAGGATCGTTGGGGAACTGAGGGTCCGCCCAAGCTGGAGCAAGTGATCTGGCCTTAAGAGGCCGAGGATTGCGAGCAAGTTTCTGTAAGAGGACAAGTGGAGGCCTGCCCCTTACAGAGTGCACTTGCGTGTGCTAAGTAGGAGGACAAGGAGGTCGTCTCCTATGTACTTGAGTGAGCGTAATGATGGTGTTGCCCCGAGTAGTGAGATGCATATGAGCAGCGTGTACAAGACCTGGCCTTGGAAGGTCCAATCATGGACACAGACTTGAGGTAGCATAAGAGTTACCCTAAGGTGTGGCTCGGGTGGGTGACCCCAATCCATATGGTGTGTGTGAGAGGTGGAGGCCATAGGGCCTCTACCTCTAGGTGTTGAGCCTCTAGGGATAGAGACTCGTAGTGGTGCAGGAATGTGGGGGGTAACCTTGTGGCGACCCGGTGAAGCAATGGCAAATTTCTTGCCTTGTGCAGAGAGGGACCTGGGCAGTCTTCTAGTGTACCTCGACAGTACGACCGACAAGTGACTTACCAGTGGCTGGGTGCATGTTGTGTGTGGCAACAGAGGTGCCGCCGATGCAGGGTGCCTTGGTGAAGGTTCCACCAGAGCGTGGAGATGGGGAGTGAGGGACCTTTAAGTCCCTCCTTACATCGATCCAGGTTAAGACCTGAGAGATAGAAAAGGGGTCTTTGCTCAAAAGGATGGTTGGGAACGAAGTTGGAGGAACTTGTTCTCTATGGACACTCACGAATGCAGGGATCCGGATGAATGGGATACAGAACCCCCAAGCCATAAGTGATGTGTAAAAAGATAATAAAAGAAGAAACCAGCAAAACAAGAATGACCAGACCCGACTAAGAGGTAGTGAGTCCCCAGTGGAGTCGCCAAGCTGATTAGGTGCCTCGATCTCGACCTCTGGATCTTGATGATCAGGCAGCATGCATCTCGGATCTTAGGGAGACTCGAGACTTTTGAGATCGCTCTCTCGAGAACCTCGTTCGAGAACATGGGCAGGTATTACCAACCGATGAGAGAGGAATTTAAGGTGGGTTAGCGACTTACTTATGCTGGCTCATGTGGGTGCCCTCTTAGATCACGAAGAAAGCCCCCCAGTAATAAAATTACTTCGAAACTGCCTCCCTTGGCTTGTATTCTCCTGTTTTCTGCAATCACACACATATGGCAAATATTATAAGACAGGTGGGTCAACAGACCTCACCTTGCCTCTTTAGCGAACGTACACAAGCATGCACATTCAAAAGAAGAAGAGAAGAATGAGAGAAGAAAGATGGGGGAGAGAAGAATTTGACCAAGCAGGAAGATCAGCATAATGACTAAGTTAGTGAGTAATTGGCCTGACGTGGACAAGCTCAACGGGATTACTACTAGACACCAATACCGATACTGATTAGCTAGACATGATGGTTAGTATATCGCGGAAATAAAGTGGGCACAATAATTCTGGCATGACAATATTATAGCTAGACGATAGGACCACCATGAGAGGCTAATCTCAACCCATCTTTATCAAACAAAACGTTCACCAAATTTGAGCATGATTTGACTTGGAACGAGTGAGATATAGTCCTCAAAAGTTACTTCCCATGATTTTAAAAACATCCACTTTCAATGGTGTTTTTGTGTAAGGTGGCAAAATCACCACGCTGCCATTCTACATCAAGAACAAACAAACCCTTGCCCACCAAGGATTGAAAAATAAATAGGGCAAGAGAATGGGAATGATGGGAAAGTATATTTCGTGGTATCAGATACACTAGTAAAAGAAAAACCATGGTTCCACGATGTTTTGTCCCAGCTAAAAGATGATTTATACCTTGAAGGAGCCATAAAAAAGGATAAAGAAGCCCTTCGAAGGTTTTTTATGGGATTCTTAGTAAGAGGTGATCTCTTATTCAAAAAGTCATTCGATGACATCATTCTATGATGCCTCGATCAGTCATAAATTGATCAAGTACTAATAGAGTGGCACAATGAAGGAGGTCATTCTGAGACAGCCACCTTACCTCAGAAAATCAAGCGTCAAGGCTATTACTAGGCCACCATGGCTGAAGACTACTGGAAGTTCGTTAAGAAGTGTCCCAAATGTAAACTCTATGGAGACCTCATCCATGTACCGTCCGTATCACTCAACTCAACACCACCCGTATGGCCCTTCGTCATGTGGGGTCATAATATCATCGAAATGATATCACCAAAAGCTTCAAATAGCCACCGTTTTATATTAACGGCTACATAATACTTCACCAAATGGGTAGAGGCCTCATCATTTGTTAAAATTGAAGGCCAACATGTTACCTGTTTCAAAAAGAACAATATTGTATTCAGATTCGGTGTTCTTGGGTCAATCATTACTGACAATGGATCCAATCTCAAAAATGGAAAGGTCACTAAGGTGCGCAAAAGGTTTGGGATAACACAGAAATTCTCCACACCTTACTAAACTTAAGAAAATGGACAAGCAGAAGCCACATATAAAGGACTTCTCAGAATTATAAACAAAATAATAGAAGGTGGAAAAGATTGGAATGAAAAGCTAAATGATGTCGTATGGGCCTACAGGACAACTGAGAAGACTTCTACTGACATGACCCCATACTCATTGGTGTATGGTATGGAAGCAGTGCTACCTATAAAGGTTGAGATACCATCTCTTCGAGTCCTTATTCATAAAAATTCACATGAGGAACAAAAGATTGAAGAATGAATAGCTGCCCTCATTAATTTTGACAAAAAATGACTCTGTGCAACACAGAATGT